GCCGAGGGGTGGATGAGGGGAGAGGTCGGACAGGGCAAGATATGACAAGGTACCCATTTGTAGACTATCGGGGGCTCATGCGGGAGGGGGGAGCGGGGAGGGAGGGGAAAGGTGGGGACCTGATGTCGGGGGTTTAAATGGAGAGAAAATGTTTTGGGAAACGATGTACAAATGCGCTCTACACAATTGATGTGTGTATGGATTGGGATAACAGTTGTATGGGCCCCTGATAAAATGTTTAAAAAAGAAAGTACATGTCTAGAAAAGAACAATGGCAATATATGTACTAACATGTCAGATACAAAAAAAAAAAAGAAAAAAGGGAATTAAAAGAAAATGGAATTTTTCCACAAACTTCTTGAAACCCCCTTAAATATATTAAAATAACAAGCTAATATTAAATGGCATGTTTGGGAAAGAAAGGAGCAGAAAATAGCATCGAATACATAGATTTTTCAAATTAAGGGAGGGGTAAGATATAAAATGTAAGAGTCAAAGGGAAAGTACTCAAATCATTGTGCTACTAAAAGCTTTAATATTTCTACTCGAAGTCCTAAATTAAACTTTGAAATAAGATGGTTCCTGCACTATAATACTTAAGATGGTTTCATCTAAAACACAGTATGCAGTAGAAGATATCTCAATCAATCACAGGGCTTGACCTGCCCACATCCTCATTCAATCATCTTTGGAATTACATAAGCCCACTTCCCTTTCCACAGTTGACCAGACTAGCATTGGACCACCTGCTGAAGACTCCCTACAAAAGGCAGGCCAATCAGATATAACAAGAGCATTAGCAGTTTGAAAGAGAAAAGGAAGGAATTCACAAAAATAAATAATAGGTTAGAGAGCAGCCAAGGTAAAGTTTTGAAGAGGCAGGCTTAATAGGTAAGCAGGCTATGAATAAAAAGAAAATGATAAGAGAGGTGGAGAACGAAGCAACTCAAAATGAAAAATTAGGGGTAGAGATTAATTTCTAGAAACTTTCTAGCACTTCCCTGCTTCTTTCAAGTAAAACTCTTTCCTCAAAGCGATTTGGGAGAATTGTGTGATCTAGAGCAGAAGAAAACAAAAACTGAAAAATCACAACAGTGTTGCACTCATGTTCCTCCTAGGTTGAAAAAGACTTCCGAGGTTTAGGGTCCTAATTTCATGGGCCATCCCATTTAATTGGCCTAATGACATGTTTAGTGCTTCTGTCCTACCTCTTAGTTTTGTTGGGTAGTGCCAGGGTTAATACTTGGGGTCTTAAAAGCTTGTGAGCAACTCATCCAAGAAATAATTTTTCCTTATTTACCTGGAACAATAAAAGTAGGAGAATAAGGAATAGGAGGAATATATGAAAAGTGTGGCTCATTAACTATGTGCCACTGCCTCCTTTGCCATGAGACCACAAGAACTGGATGGTACTCAACTATTATAACTGAACATTTTGATCAAAAATCCATAGTAGATTCCTGATCAGAAGGAGGAAATGCAGAGCAGAATTTCAGAATCTCATGGATTCCAGACATCCTAGAGCCATGACGGTGAGATGAACCCTTGGAATGATTGTCCTGGCAGAGTCGTTAATCTAAAACCAAAAATATACCCCAAAGTCACCTTACAACCAAACAATAGTTTAGCAAAACAGGTGTGCCCTGAGCATTATGTCCTTTTAGGAACTCTCTCACCGCTATTGAGAAGATTCCGACTCACAGAAACCTTGGAAGGACGGGATAAAACTGCTCCTCTGGGTTTCCAAGACCACAACTCTTTACAGGAGTAGAAAGCCTCATCTTTCCCCCAAGGAGCAGTTTCGAAGTGCTAACTTTGCAGTTAGCAACCCAACTCATAGCCACTAAGTCACCAGGTTCCTGAAAAGAAAGAACACATCAGCATGTTTCAAGCTGTCAGAAATGAAGAAAAAAACGCAAGCATCAGGTTGTGAAATTGTAAGGGTCTATCGGCAAAATATTAAACACTGCAAGGGGCACCAGAATAGAGTCACTGTACAAAAAGAATTGGTCAATATCCAAACATTCCAAGAGGTAGCATTTGAACAAGAACCAATGGTATTGAAGGAAGAAAGCTAAGCTGTACTGAAGGCATTGGTCAAAAACAAGTCTCCAGGAACTGATGGAAAACCAATTGAAATGTTTCAACAATCGGAAGCAACACTAGTCTATGCCAAGAAATTTGGAAGACAACTACCTGACCAACCAGCTGGAACAGATCTATATGTGTAACTATTCCAAAGAAAAATGACCTGACAATGTGGAAATTACTACACAACATCATTATCACAAGCAAGCAAAATTTTACTGAAGATAATTTAAAAACAGATGCAGAACATCGACAGGGAACTGCCAAAAATGCAAGGCAGATTCAAGAGAGAACACGGAATGAGGGGTATTATGGCTGATGTCAGCTGGGTCTTAGCTGAAATTAGAGAGTAGCAGATGTTTGCAAGATATTTTATAAGGTAAACAAGCGGCCATCTAGCTCAGAAGCAACAAAGCCCACATGAAAGAAGCACACCAGTCTGTGCGATCACGAGGTGTCGAAGGGATCAGGTATCAGGCATCATCAGAACAAAAAATCTTATCATAGTGAATGAGGGAGTGCGGAGTGGAGACCCAAAGCTCATTTGTAGGCCACTGGACATCTCCTTACAGAAGGGTCTCGGGGAGGAGACGAGCCAGTCAGGGTGTGATGTAGCAACAATAAAAAATACAACTTTCCTCTAGTTCCTAAATGCTTCCTCCTCCCCCATTATCATGATCCCAATTCTACCTTACAAATCTGGCTAGACCAGAGGCTGTACACTGATACAGATAGAAACTGGAAATGCAGGGAATCCAGGGCAGATGATCCCTTCAGGACCAGTGGGTGTGAGTGGCAATACTGAAAGGATGGCTGGGAGGGTGGGTTGGAAAGGGGGAACCTATTACAAGGATCTACATGTGACTTCCTCCCTGGGGGATGGACAACAGAAAAGTGGGTGAAGGGAGACATCGGACAGGGCAAGATATGACAAAATAATAATTTATAAATTATCAAGGGTTCATAAGGGAGGGGTGAGCGGGAAGGGGGGAGGAAAAAATGAGGAGCTGATGCCAGGGGTTTAGGTGGAGAGCAAATGTTTTGAGAATGATGAGGGCAATGAATGTACAAATGTGCTTTACACAATTGATGTATGTATGGATTGTGATAAGAGTTGTATGAGCCCCTAATAAAACGATTAAAAAAAAGATATTTTGTAGAATATGCAAAGGATTATAACAAACTTGATAACAATGGGAAAAATGGGAATTCCAGAACACGGAGTGCTCATGCAGAACCTTGTACATACACCAACAAAAGGCTGTTTGAACAGAACAAGGGAATGCTGCGTCATTCAAATCAGAAAAGGTTTATGTGTCAGGGTTACCTGCTTTCAATCTGTATGCTAAGCAAAAATTTGAGAAACTAGATTACATGAAGAACGCTTCGTCAAGATTGGAGGAATGCTTATTAACAATCTGAAATATGTGGACATCACAACTTTGCTTGCTGAAAACAGGAAAGACTTAAAGGATTTGCTGATAAAGATCAATGGGTATAGCCTTTGTTCTGAATTGTCAACTCAATGTAAAGAAAACCAAAATCCTCACAAATGGACCAATAAGCAACATCATGATAAATGGAGAAAATATCCAAATTGTCAAGGATTTCATTTTACTGGGATCGACAATCAATGCTCATAGAAGAGGCAGACAAGGAAACACATGACATAGTGCAGTGGGCAACTCTACTGCACTCAAAACTCTTACATTTACTGTCATCCAGTAGATTCTGATACTTCTTTAAAGCATTAATGAGCAAGGATGTGACTGAGGATGAAAATACACCTGACCCAACTGCCTCTTATACATGTGAAAATTAAACAACAAATAAGGAAATTAAAGAATAATTGATGCATTCAAATTATGGTATTGATGAAGAATACGGAAAATACCTGGACTGCCATAGGAACAAACAAGTCTTTCTTGGAAACAGCACAGCCAATGCTCTTTAGACGCAAGGATGGTAAGGCTTCGTCTCACATCCTTTGGCCATGTTATCAGGAGAGACCAGTCCCTGGAAAGAGACATTTTGCTGGGTAAAGCAGGGGAGGGGCAAAAAAGAGGAAGACCCTCCATGAGCTGGATTGATAGTGGCTACAAAAATGGCTCAAACACAACTGTGAGGCTGGAATAGCACTGGGCAGTTTTTCCTTCGATGTACACAGGGTCGCTATGAACTAGTTGGAACAGACTCAAAGGCACTTAACAACATATGGGATCAAACTGACAGCTCAAAAGATGAGTTTGGAACTGCAGCGAGTAATGAGGTTATGTTAGTGAAGAGAACAACTTAGAAAAACAGGGTGAAAGTGGTTACACCACTCCAAGGATGTAATTAACGTCACGAATGCTACATGCAGAAAAGTGTTGATGTTTTGCTGTGTGATATTCTCAACAGCAGCAGCAAAATAAACTATTTATAAAAAATAAAAACATTTTAAAAACCTTATCTTTGAAACAATGAGCTAGAAAAACCCTTGGAATGCAGCCACTTCACTCTTTTAAAAATGAGGAAATTGAGGACCACAAAGGGACAGAAGGTTACACAGATACTGTCAGTGCTAGGGCAAGAACAAATCCTATTTCCCCAGCCACTACTGTTTGTCCTCTATTGCACTAAATAACATCTTTACATGCTTATGCTTTCTCTCACAAGCTAAAAAGTCTTCTTCTACTTACTACTCTGGTTTTCGCTGTCCTTAAGGAACACACTCGGGGTTTCTCCTTTCTCTCTCATAAACCATTCTTTAAAACCCATCTGTCACAAACACATTACACAGAAAATTCTTCAGGCCTGCTGCTTCACGCTGCTCCCCATAAATGCAGATGCAAAAACAGCATGTGGAACATGTTATTTCCCAACTGCACAACCGTGTTTGAGTGAAAAGTAGAACCGAATAGAAACATGTAAATTGAAGCATACATTTTAATCGTTTAGAATCATAAAGATTTCCTTGAAGAAGAAAAAACACCATCAGCAATGTTAGTCAGATTCAAAATAATTCACCAATGTTCAGTAAAGTAGTGCAAAACTTAATAGAAACTAACGTGAAATATTTCAAGTCATCCCCTTATAGAACACAGTAAGAACAACCCCCCCACCCGCCACCCACACACCCCCCCAACTTGGAGCCCCAAGTCCCAGCAGGAGGGAAATTATTAACCAGTAAGAAAGTGTAGAGGCGGAAAGGGAGCAGGCATGGGAGGCACTGATAGTGAAGGCTCAAATCAGGATTGTGAAACACCTAAATGCTTACTGGGCCAAAACAGACACTTAAGCGTCCCTACAGATCCACGAAGGACAGCTGGGGGATGTGCATAAATCCTTTTATCTCTAAAGCTGATCCACAGAAGGGCCGAGTCATCAATTTCCTAAGAACATTCTCAGCCATATTAAAACGGCGGAACACAAAAAAACTGTGTATTTTAAAGACTTCTTTGCTTAGGTTTCAGGTGGGAAAAGTACCAAGTGAAAATGCACTGGCTAGGAAATAGGGGACTCACGATTAAACAAACAAAAGCATCAAACTCACAAGTTCCGAGGTCACTACTGTGTGGCTAAAGAAAGCACCCCATTAAGGGATTCTCTCCCTGAATGAAGAGCCAGTGGGGTTATAGGTTTAGCTTATCGTAATTCTAGCAACTTGACGGTGTACGCTCTCCATTTGGTCGATAAGAACACTCCGGCTGAGCACCTTCCATTCAACAAGGTCACAAAGTCAGGCGGTGGTGACACAACCCAAATCGGAGCCCAGGCGGTCAGCCGCAAACAGTCCCCAGGCTGGACTGCATCCCCACCAGGCACCCAGGAGGGAGTTTCCAGAGAGAGTGAAAAGGAGCCTTGGACTCGCTCAAAGTAGGGCCGAACTGAGCTGTCAAAAACAGACGGAGAAATGAGCGCGGCTCCCGGCCGAGGCTGCCCTCTGC